GCAAATTGCTCGAAAATTAATTGCAAAACAAAAAAAAAAACAGAATGTGTGAGCTTTCCATATCTCAAATGATTAAATTAAAATAAATATAAAATGCAATTGCTTTGAACATTTCAGATAGCGTTGTGACAGATGCCAAATATTGGCACAATTTGTTATTAAACCATTTGTTGTACATTTACGCAATAAGAAGCTTAATTGATATTGGTTTGAAAGATTAAAACGGAGTGCATCAGGTACTGTTATTGTTTTTGGGTACTGTTTCTTTCTGTTGTCATTTGCATCCGCTGATAAGGATTGCTTATCTTAAATGTAAACACGACGCCAGCTCTCCAATTAATGAAAAATATACAATTTTCTTATAATTGTCAACATTCTTAATCTGCAAATTGCAATTCAGTTGCACTTGCCCAAAAGACAGCAAATCCATTTGATCTTTCATTCGAGAAACTTTATTATTGCGATTTATGAGAGAGGCTCGTCTGTGTATCGAGAAAATATTGTCTTAAATATCACCTGGGAACATCAAATTAGGCGCTAATCAGCCAAGTTGACAAGTTTCACACACCCAACCCCAAAATACAATTATAGTCCACCTGCTAAATGCTTATACAAAAAGACAAACTAGATTTTATGTAAATTTCAATTAGGCCCACATTTGTTGTTCATTTTTGTTGTTTCTTTTGACAACCAAACCGGGTTGTTGATGTTTTCATTTTACTGGCGCCAAATAAATATACAAGTTTATTCAAAATGTACATGGGCAAATTAAAATTTACGACCCCAGCCCCATAAATGATTACAAAACTCATTTACAAACCAAATGCAATTTATTCTTAATCAAAATAATAAAAAGCATATTATTTTGCTTGTGAACACAGTTTGTCTTTGTTTTCTTTGCTCATTACTAAGAAATTTCCATTTTAAAACATTTACAAATGCCTTAATAACTTCCCTTTACCAAAAAAAAAATGAAAATAAATAAATAACTAAAAAGATAACGGTAGCGTACTTGCTTTCTTTGCAAACACACACAGACAAAAAGAGAAAAATAATAAAAAAAAAAAATAACGAATACAGTAAAATAAAATAAAATTGCCGCAAAGCTGAAACTTTAGCCTTAACCTAAATTTATTTTGTTGTTACTGTTGTTGCTAGGAGATTACTTTCAAGTGCAAGTTGATTTATGATAAAAATTTAAAAACAGAGCGAAAGCAGCAGAATATGACTGACCTTGTGTAAAACGTGAAAAGCTTTGCTAGATTTTTGCTAATGGCTAAATTGCATGCAACATTGAGCAAATGTCGTTTGTCATAATATAGAATATTTTTCGGATATAGACATGAATATCCCATGATTTTATTGTATATATATATATATATTGATGGGAAATCATTTGCGAAATTCGCGAATAATACTGATGAGTTATAAATGATTTATAAAAACAAGTGCAAATGTTCTCATCCATTGAGAAGATACCCTGTTAAATATATCAATTCTCTTGAATATAAAAATTCACAAACCACAAACTCAATTCGTAGAAAGCTCCATTCAAGATAAAACTGCGTTTTGATTTAAAAAAAAAATCGGTGTTTCTTATCATAAATTTTTAAAGTTGTTTAACAATATGGAAATCGAAAATCACGAAACAAAGGCAGTTATCGCTAAAATGAAATAAACTTTATTTATTCATTCATATATTCCAATTTTGAAGCTTCTATATACTTTGTTTAGGATATAGAAAGTGCAAAAAATATTTATTGTTATTATTTTTTAATTGACATGCGATACTAATTAAATTAGTCACCAGAATCAAAACGTAACTTTCGTGTTCCCAAGGTGCACACATTCAATTAACCTCTTCAACCTGCCGCTTAGTAATCAGGCTAAAAAAAAAGCACACAGCCCAAACAACATTGCGGTAACACAAAAAAAAAAAAAAAAATTGAGAGAGATAACAATGCGGCATTAACAAAAATTTCTAATTATAAAAAAAGAAACAAATACACAAAACCATCCAAGAGCACAGCAAATGAAACGTGGAATTACAAAACTGGATTCAGTAAACAAACAAAAAATACGCAAAAGCGTCAAAATGCTGTTGTTTGTGTTTACTTGATGACTGCTGCTGCTGCTGCTGCTGCTGTTATCAATGCTGCACGAAGCACGTGCTCAGTTTCATTTTGAGCAGCGCAGTTGTTGCAGTTGTGTATTGATAAGAAACTGCTGCTGCTGCTGCTTCCGTGACTGTTTGAGGCTGCTGCTGGTGCTGGTGCTGTTTATTAATTTGTGTCGTGCACCTTCAACAAGCTAATTAATTTCGTAATCAATATTGGCAGCAACTAGAACAACCAACTGACACCACAATTGAGTCACTCAAAGTCAACACAGTGTTGCCAGCCGAAAAATGTTAAGGTTTCTATATATATAAATATATATATACAGCTCATCTGTCGTCATCTGCCACTGCTGGCTGCTTAGCTGGCTGACAGTGCGTATGATTGATGGCCAATTTTATTTATTATTATAATATATTTCTTTGCTTTCTTTTTGCGTGTGTTTCCACATTATCAATGGCCTTTTGTCAGGTTGGCCTAAACCCAACTCGCATCAATTTCCATTCTTTATTTATTTATTATTATTACTTTTTTTTTCTTTTGCTAATGAAATGTTCAGAGCAAAGTAAATCGATTAAAATGCAATTTCTTATTTTATTTGTATGGTTTTTTTTGTTGATTTTAGTGTATGCGTGTGAAATGTGTCTGTGAATTCAAAAAATAATTAGCAATTATTTAATTATAATTGACTGGCAAACATGCAAAACGTTATGATAACAGCTCAACAGTACTGGTGGTAAGGCATAGTTTTAACGAAAATGCAATAATATAATAAACTTTTCTTTATAAAACTGATTTTATATCAAAACACATATTTACTTAATTCTATAAATGGCATTTTACAAGTCTCGTGCTTGCAAAAATTACATTTTATAAGTGACGTACCTTAAAATGTGATATTATTTACGACATTGAGAAAATAAAATGAAAATTAAACTCATTAAAGCCATATATAATTGAGTTAAGTGAATAATATCAGCACTTTAAGGCTATAATAATTGAAGTAAATGATTTCCATACTATCCATCTAAGTTTCAATTTCTGCAAGGTGTAGTTGATGTTGGGGTCTTTGCTCGGTTATCTAAGATTGGGTGAATTCAAGTTAAATCACAGCTGACTCAGCTAAAGCCAAAGCTGTGTTAAGACTCAAACCTGTTCTCGTGAGAGGCAAATGCCCATAAGCATCCGGTATGCATAGATTAATAAAAAAGAAAAAAAGTTATTACACAGAGCAGAGTTTGCTACTGGGTCGCAGCTTTTCCATGCATGCCTCAAGGCACGTACGCAGCATATTTACCGGAACCCAACAGCCCCCTCCCCCTCCCTCTCCACCCTGCCGTTCTCAGTGCTGGCCCATTCATAATTATGCTTAACGATCTGAGCACAAAAGGTCAGTTATATTGACTCTTTCTCTCTCTTTCTCTCTCACACACACACACCATGTCGCTCTCTCTCTCTCTCTCTCCCTCTTTCACTTGTGTCTCAATGTTAAACGTAGTAAATTTAAGAAGAAAAAAACACAATATAAACTTTTGTTGGTTTTACTTATTGATTGGCCTTGTTATTGTTGTTGGCCAATTAAAAAAAAAGGGGTAAACATTTTTTTTTTTTGTGCTGGAAAAGTGCGCCCGCTAATTGATTGTAGAATGTGTTAATCAATTGTAAATTTAAATTTATGACTCCACATATCAACAAATAAAAAACTCGCTCGAGCATCGAATATTTATTGAGTTATTGTTTGGGTCGCGTGTGTGCTTTGGCTCAATATATAACTCCTCCTCCTGATATTATTTGCTTGTTCGCAGAAATATGCCATTAATTAATAACATAAGTTCTTAATCTTTTATACACGATAAAATAGTTTTGATTCCAAGAAAATGGAATTTTTTTTTGAACATCTGATTTTGTACAATGTACAACAATCTCATATTTAATTTCATAAAGCTCTCTGGCTATCAGACGTTATAAAGATAATAAGACTTTATGAGCCTTGATTGGACCGCGAACACCTGGTCAATAAAATGTGGGCGAATCTCTGGTCAAATCGTACGGTTTAAATTAGCAATGTTCTCATGGAAACACTTTCAAATCAAGCCTAGGGCAATAAAACTTTGCGAAATATTGTTTAAGTAACTTAAGGTAATTAAGTGAGAAGTAGTCTAAACTAGAATTTAATACTGTTAAATGTGAAAGTCGTTTTTTATATAGCTTAAGAGAAAGTTGTTATACTTACCACAATTATCTTAAATATATTAATGAAATCATAAGTAAAATAAGTAACCAAAAGAATATTTAATTTATTCACTTTTTACAAGTTTACAAGTTGTACGAGAATAATACTTATTACAAATGCGCTTTAAAATATTTTAGTTAGAGTGATTCTCTGCTAAGCTTCGAACTCGAACAAAAAAAACAATGCAATTATTAGAATAAATGACATTTTATAGTTGGAACATAAGTTGAGCTGAAAAAAAGGTGCTCACGACCAGTGCCAAACCATTTAATGATAGACCCCACTTTCGAACGTGACAATCTTCTGGTAATAAAAGTTTAAGTAGTGCGCGTGCCTTTATTATGGCCACGTGCTTCATTATCGTACCTCCAATATATCACATATGAGATGATCTTTCACCCAAAGCAGCGGGCTTAAAGGAGGGGAATGGAGGTGACTAGGGAGGGAGGAGGGTGGAGTTTGATGCGTGTGCATATTGAAATTGGCGTTTGTTAAACTACATAAATTTGCAGCGAGTTTTTCAGCAATTGTTCTTTATCCTCTCTGTTTTGTTGTATTCATTTTTGTATGATGTTTTGTTTTTATTTTTTTTCGTTTATTTTTTGGCACAATTTCGTTTGCTCCTTAACAAATAATTTGAAACGTGCCAGGTCACGTAGGGCTAGTCAAGATGTTTCCAGTTTGTCACGCAGCGTTGACAATTTGGCGATACCCGTGCGCAGGTAAGTGCATAAAATCAACTTACTAACCAAATCCCGTAAATTCCTATTCCCAAAAAAAAAAAAAAAAACAGACAATCCAAATTCAGCTAATCAAGTAAATTTTACATGCTTTATCTAGAGATGTGTTATATATAAAAATATTTATCGTAGAATGTCGCATGTCGAATCTTGTATCTGTCTATCTGCATGTTGTATATAACTAGCTTAAGCATGAAAAATCACATGAATTTGCATTACAATTTGCCATATAAATATTTATAAACATACCCATACAAATATATCTTATCTAATTACATCTTTTTCCAGCCGAACTGTGTCCATAACTAAGCTTACATATTTTACAGTGATATAAATCATTAATTGAATCAAATTTATAAAGCTCACATTCGCGTTATATAAATAAAAAAAAAAGAAAGAAACTCGCTTGTTTTATGATTATTTATAGATTTCGCGATAATCTTAATGTGCTCTGCTCCTCATATTACCGAAATTGATAATTTATGAGTGCCACAAAACTGTTAACAACAATAAGCACTAAATAAACGGCTGATATTAAAATGATTAAAACAAGGCGGACAGAAAAAAGAAACATAAAAACAAAAAACAAATGTTATTTCACCAACAACAAGATTCATTTTGGGATAAGGCAAACACAAAAAAAAAAAAAAAAAAAAAAAAAAAACATGCAGAACCCAGCAGATTAGCAAAGATTAGATTAAAAAGTAAATAGCTTTATATTAAGAGGAAGGTAATACCCAAGTGACACATATATGTACATATGTTTTATGATTATCTCTAAGTGCGTCATATCAATCAAAACTCGCTTGAAGTTTGCACCGTTTCTTTCTTTGCATACAAAATATATATATATTTTTTTATTATATATTTTGTTGGCACACAAAAAAAAAAATGAAAAAGAAAAAGGAAAAGGAAAACAAATGCCAAAAAGTGTTTTCAAATAGATTTCAAGCCTCAAGTAGTTTAAATGGCCTTTAGACGGTGTAGATTAATTGCCATGTCATGGCATGTTGCTTTTTATGACTTGTATTCCTAGCAAATTCTTAAAAATAACTTTAAACATATCTAATAAAATTATTCAAATTTTTTGTATTCCTTTCATAGGATGGATAATAAAATTGTACTCCTTTAAAGTGCAATTAAACAAAGTAAACAGCAACATTTTTTTTATTCTATTCTTATTTAAGGTTAGTTTATATAAAAAGCAAAACTTTCAAAATAAAACCAATGCAAATATTATATTTTCCTGATTTTTTTCCTTTATTTTTGGAGTCTCTCAAATGCAGATCACAAAATAAATAGAAATAAATTAACTTGAAACTCTTAGAGTCAATGTCGAAATTGTAGCACTAAATTCAAATACTACAGATATGCAGCATTATCAATTTCACAAGCGTTTATATGGTACGCACTTATGTGCCGTGATACTCACTACATTAATTGTCAAGTGCAACTCTCGACACACATGTGTGCCCCATGTATGAAAGCAGGTAGTTTATAAATATAGCTTAGGCAACAGCAGTAGCAACTTGAAAATGTATGTTCGTCTGAAGTGCGACTGTCAGTCGCTGTTGACATTTGTCAGCTGTCTTTAGTAAGTCAGTAAGGCAACAACAACAAAGACAACAACAACGGCAACAACAACAACTGCATACAGCAAACAAAGCTCTTCCATTTGACTTCTTAGTAGGTGGCACTTGTCATTACCAAAGCCAAATGGCTTAAGACCCATGTTGCTTGCCGTCTTTTTGACTGTCTGCCTGCCTGCCTGTCTGTCTGTCTGTCTGTCTGTCTGGCTGTCTGTCTGCCTGTTTACCGTCCAGGGCCAAAATATCAAAGGCAAACAATGCAACTGATAAGATATAGCTACCAATACATGAATGTATCTATCTGTGTAATAAAACAAGTGAGCACCAATGAGGGAGTTTTCGAGTAACCGTTTTTTATTGTTCGTTTTTCGATATTTATTTGTCTTGCCACAAATTTTGTGCTGTTAGTTAGACTTGGACTTTTAATTGCCTTGCGATAAAACATTCGTAAAATGGTGCTAGATATTTTGTTTAGTTCATAGACTTATTCCAAATGTCATTGACCAAAGATTTTTGCTTTACATGACGTATTTATGACGTATATTATTTTAATTTAAATCCAGAATTAATAAAGATTACACAGCTTTGTAAATAAATGTTGACAGCTTTAATAGGACGGATATAAACAAAGTTTCAGACTTTAAGCTGAGAGAGTTCAGCGCATATAAGATCAACAAATTCGAACAGAAATTTCTAATATCGTCTAGTAAGGCTGATCAATGAATGTCTCTGCAAACTTGAAAGCAAACTTAAAATAACATCCACAAAGGTATACAAATTGTATTGTATATTTTCCTATGATTTTGCTTATAAACACAAGCTTAAAAACAATTCTAATTGTGTTAATTGCTAGCGCCTACTTTATTTCTAATATAAACTTGTAGGAAAGTTTCAAAATGCCCTTCAACTTGGTTAGGCTTTTTTCATATTCCTTCATATTTGGCCCATCGGTAGACATATGTGCAAAATAAGTAAATAAATACGCTCAAAAACTGGAAGGGGCACAAACAAATATCAAAGCCTGCACATGTACGCATGTGCCACATTATTTATGTTTACAATACTTGCAAACGAAAACAAATATATTGAGTTGAGCAAACATTTTTGTTCATGTGATCACATTTGAGGTTGGAACTAAAACAACTGTTTAAATGAAATTCCTTGATCGCATATGAGCTTAATAAATTCAATAAACACAAGGTTTTGTTTTTGTTTTCTAGCTGTCTCGTCCAAATGTCGCAACTTACAATTCAAACACAACTGTGTTGCTGACAGTCTTACAGTCCAGTTAAGATAGCTTTGGTTATTTGTTTCACAAATGGCCCAAACGACTCGAACAGTCACATAAATTAAATGGACCTAGCAGCTTATTTGTTCATTAGATATGATATGTGACAGTTTTTAATAGCTGTGCTGTCTTAATTAAAAATATACAACAATAAAAACGAACAAAATAAATATGCAAAGCGTAACTATAAAGCCAAATTGCCGTGGAAAATTGCAATAAATAGAATAAATACAAAGAGCGACAAATATGTGTTAAATAATTATTTACTATTTATCTGCAGACAGTGCCTGAACTCCAAAAAAAAAAAGAACTCTGAAATACTAGAATTGAATAAATATTGTTTATAATATATATGTATTTTTCTGAATAGCGTTTTTATCATTGATATTCAATTAGGGTTATCGCAGCTGGTGTGGCTAATTGGCATCGCAGTCGCAAAGACACGCGCAAATAAAATTCATTTGCTTTATTTCTTAAACAATTTATGGCCTATAAATATCACAAAGAGAAAAAGAATTATATATTTCAAATGTGACAAAAAAAAAAAAATACTCTCAACAACTGCAAAAAAAAAATACACAGTTAGAAATTGCCAATTTATATCACTTGCGAATTCAGTTAAATATAAATACAATTTGTATAAAATTGATTTTTATGCGTTTTTCAATTATTTTATATTGTTATTACCAGCCAGCTTTGTTGACAAAATATGTTGACATATTTCAGATCAAATTGTTAACTTATATTATATGGAAACTCAGTTAGATAAAAATACAATTCGTAGAAAATTGTTGTTTATGCATTTTTCAATTATTTTATATGGTTTTTGGCAGCCAGCTTTTTATATCAAAATATATTGAGATATATCAGATATTATGTCCAACATAAAGATAATAAAACTATTTGTAGTAAAATAATCGGCCCAGTTATCTAAAGCTGACAAATACTTAATACATTTAATATAAAAACATTTCTATTTATATTCTGTATATTCTAAAGATTTCTGTGACAAAATAGTCAAACTACGACTTGGGCATAGATATTTTAAAGCATTTCCACAATTTTCATATGCTTCTTAATTGGTATTCAATTCCAGTGAGTAGTAGTTATTTTTAATACTTGAACTAAGAAATTGTATTGTGGGCGGAACATGTTGACATCTTTCAAGCTGTCAATCCATCAGTCAGTTACTCAATTTCATACACCCAAAATAAAATCGAGCACAGCTTGTCTTATTGCCAACAAATGACATTTGTGCGCCGCCAACGGAAATTACATTTTTTTTTTCAATCAAAACGACACAAGAAAATTTGTAAAGAGCGAAATAGCAAAAAGCAGACAAGTGGAAATATAAATAGATATATTACTTATTTAACTTTTGTCATCTAAAAATGTCGCCCATCAAACATAAATTCAACTACACAAAAGATATCATTGCAAATATGATCGATGTGACTATTCGTCAGGGGCAATCCGATTCAATCCGCCTGCAACTCGCTTGCCAATTTTAATTTATGCACCAATATATATATATGTAGGAAACAAATTGCTTGGCACGTTGTCATAAATCAAGGCGGTCGTAGTTTTAAATGTTTGCCACATGCCGAAACGCACAGTGAACCTTTTAAGGCGGACTTACAAACTTGGCGCTAGGAAGCACACGCGTCCATATCTATTATATCTATGGAATATCAACGTCGCCATCAAAAATTCCCGCGACATCAGAATGCTAAGAATAGTCTAAAAAAAATAAATAAATTAAAATAAAAAATAATAATAATAAAAGGAAGGCAGAGAAACAAAAACTTGAAATGCACGGCAAATGAATTTTAATGAAACTGAATGAATCGAGTGCCAGAGCAATTGTGTTTCAATACAATTTCGAGGCATTTTGATGCATGCCCCCGCCGCGGCTACAATCAAAAAGTATTAACTGATTGTATACATTTATTTATTTATTTTGATTTTGTAGTATTTTGTATGCGTTGTGAGTCTGCCTGATTCTATCGATGACGCAGCAGTTTACGTTCTAAGCCGGCAACGAATTGGCCTGTAAAATAGAAAGAAAATTAAAGAAAAACTATTGAAAATTCGTTGTTTTTCAAGCCCATCAAGTGTGTGTCTCGTGTGTTTATAATTCTAAAGTAATGACTTTAAAACTGTAGAAACTGTGTAGCATAAATGTACTCTAGTTATTTACTGATGGAGTTAAATTCTTAGTTCAAGCTGATTGGATACCAATTTCTTTACTATTTTCAACTTTAGTCTTTTAAACACAAAGAATTCTTTTTCTTTTTTAATAGGTTTTTGTTTATATATCTTATGTACTCCAATATATATCGAATAATCTTTAGAGATAGATGTGCAACGATTAAATAAAATTACTTTTGTTTCTGAGTGTAGTCGTGCAACAAAAAGAGGCACACACACAACCAATATATGCCACATTTTGTTGCAAAAACAAATGAAGTATTAGTGAATAGTTTTGTGCAATGTAATATCTCAAAGACTCGCCTCATTTGGCTCCACATAGAAGCTGGGGATCGGCTGCTGCTGCTGCTGTTGCTGCGATTGTTGCTGCTGACGCATTTGATGCTCATTATAATGCTTCATGCGTTCCAGCACGGATATCTGGCGATAGTTATCGGCCGTATAACGCGATATGGCAATGCCGGCGCCCTCGATCAAAGCGAGCAGCACGCCGCCAACTAAAGCGCTGCTCAGCATGCCAGCTACACCTGAAATCCCAACACATATTTGTTATAAACATTCAGATTAATACTATGCACAGCTGTTGACAACTGAAAAAAAAGCGTATCTTCAAATCTCTACTCCAGAGCACAATGAACTGTTCAAAGAACTTTTTTCTACAAATGAATCGACTTCAAATTTATACTGAATGCAATTTTTACTCGTTGAACTGATCAGATCCGAGTTAGCAGCAAAAACTATTTATGGATATGAACTTGAAATCAACTATGATTATTTAAAGTTTGAATAATCAATGCAAGCTTTATGAGTAACTGAAGCGATCTCTACTTCTGTTTGTTATATATACAAACATACTTCTACAACATTTTCAAATTCAAATTTGTGTATTTATTGTCTCAATTGACCCGATTAGATGTGATCAATTTTGCACATAAAGATCATCTTTATAGTTATGGACTTGGATTCAGCAATGATTTGTTAAAGTTCACGCCTTCAATAAATCCATAAATATTATGTATAACTCTGACTTTGTCTATACTTTCAATTCCAATGAGTTGCCAACAGTTGTGCAGCTGTTGCACAAATGTGTATATATTGATAAGCTCACCGCCACGTGCAGCTAGAATGCCGCCAGTTAGTGCACCGCTAACAATTGAATTCCATGGATCCTCCTTGCCCCGACTGTAGACCAGGCTGCAATCGATGGCGCTAAATGTGCCGCCCCAGACAGCAAAGCTGCCACCGACCAGGCCGGAACGGGCGCGCACCGCTGCCAGGCCACCAATGAGGCGTCGCTGGAAGCCGTGCGGTGCATTGCGGAATCCCTTGATCGCCTGAAAGATGCCACCACCCACAGCGCCCATGGTGAATGCCCCGCCGCAGTCCTCCACAATGCGAAAGGGGCACGGTTCGCGTGTGTATTCCTCCATTCTGATCAAAAAATCACCAGCAAAACTGTTCGTTCAGCAATAATTATTATTGTGAACGTTTCGAGTTGTACGAACTTTAAGCACAAATCGTCGCCTACTTTCTCAGACTTCCATTAGGAGTATATATTATTTAAAAATCTATTGGATTCAACTTTAGGTTATATCGGCTGTCAGCCCGATGGGCTGACACACTTAGGTCTAACCTAACTTCATGTACAAAATGAATATTTATCAAAGTTTTAAGTTCATCAAGTTTTTGCTTTCCATAGTATTTCTGCAGGAAAATAAAAACACAATTTGCAAGACTAATCAGATTATTTGTATATATTACATGTATATATATATTTTTAGTAAGAGTTTTCCATATTCGCTAAGAGCTTTAACAAATTCGATTTGTATTTCAGAGAGATTGCTTTATTTATAGATAGCTTAAATTTGAATTAATTTTCACAAACAGCAGCAGGCATTAGACATAAATCAAATTTGCTTAAACTGCATTTAGTAGTTGCAGTTGTTGCAATAGCAAAACGATACAAATTCTATAAAAATCCCCGAGTAAATTTTGAGGACAGACAAAAACAACAACAACAACAACAATAACGACAAACAAGAACAACTCGTGACTTGCTCCGACTCCACACAAATCGAAGGCATTTAGAGGTTAAGTCGGCTAAAACATGAAAACAAATCTTAAAATGCGTCGTTGACCATTTTTGGTCACTAAACGTTTGTTGATTGCCAGAGATAAACAAAAAACAACGAACAAAAACATACAATAAAAAAAAGTAAAAAATTACACACAACAAATAATAAACACATAAATAAATAAATTGTTAATAGCTAGTTATGGCCACAATTTAGGCTGGAAAATTTGTAAAAGATAAAGATCGGAGCAACTCAAGTTGCTATCGCTTTACAATCGCAATTGACTAAACAATCATTTTGTGCTTTGCCACGAATTTGTTTTTTTTTTTTGTTTTTTATTTTCTTTTTATTCAACAGGAGCAAGTCGCGCAGCGTTGATCATGGCCTTGCGGCACCTTTCGATTTGGATTCGTTGCGCTCGAAAGTTGAGCAGCGTTTTGAGAGCGTCGACAAATTGTCAAGTGAGTATTTTCAATATTTCAAATTTCAAATAAAGTGCGCGCGCGCGACATCAACGCCATCTATTGCATTCGTTCGCTAAGCTTAAGTAACGCTAAGTTGGCTGCGCAGTGCAAAATGCTCGTTTGACAACAGCGCGCACAACTGTTATCACTATTTTTGTGATTATCAAATTACATAAGTGTTTTGGCTGCATAGCAAAGCAGTAGTATCAGTAAGCATACAATTTAGTATTGTTTTGCTCAGTGCTGGTATTGTTTACTAAGCAAACTTTTTATTATGTTGGTCGTTTGTCTGTTAAATTTAAACGGCGCTAGTTGAGTTCAAATTGTATTTTTTGTTAACAGCAATTGAATCAGTTGTTCTGTTATTACGATTGAGCAGAAAAAATGCGGTGGCGGGATAACGGTTCTTGTAGCATTTTATTCCCTCTTCAAATAAAAACATATTTTATTTTGTGTGAATAGGAAAGACAATTCGGATTAATAAAAAAAAAACGCCAAACGAATGAGTGTTTGACATATCAAAAACACCAAAGACAAAAATCAATTATCATTAGCCAAATGTGACTAAAGTATTGACGGTATCTGACAATAATTACTGAGTCATCAAACTTTGCCAAAGCCCCAAATATTGATAAATACAAAATTATGAAAAATAACAAATTGTTATCAAATGTTAACACGCACTTGAAACCCGCTAAATACAATGTGAATATTTATTGACTTGTTGAAGTTTCGCCGGCATTCGCGTTGCATTCCGCCGTTTGTTTGTATTCCCCACGCGAAAAACGGTCGACTAAGCAAAAAAACAAAAAAAAATTTGTGTTGACTGCAGCGTCTCTCTCTCTCTCTCTGCTGGCTGTCAACGAAGATGTTGTCGTTGTGTTGTTGTAATTCGTGCTTAGGACGAAAGCGCTGCTAAAGAAAATAAGCAAAGGACGCGCTATAAAGTGACAAAATGACAAATTGTATTTTATTTTCTTTTCTGTTCGATTCGCAAAGCGAGCACAAAATATTAATGTGGGTCTAGAATCTTTAGTGCATAGTTCGAGATTTTATTGCTTTGATGATAAAGCTTGACAGTTGCCATTGGAACATTTTCAAAATGCTGGAAATTATTGAAATCTATGTGAAGCCTGCAACAAGAACAACAACGCCAGCAACAACAACAACAATGGCCGCCAATGAATTTGTTGTGATTTATTTGTGTCGTCAATTCGCGCAGATCGCACAGGATGCGATTAGAACGGGCGTAATCTATTCGCCCCTGCGACCCAATGAGGATCAATTTGTGATCTTTGAACAGCTGCCAAGGCCGCCGCCAGTCAAAAGTAAGTCAGGTACCAAGTGATCAACTGGACAACCCCCTGTAATAAATAGCCAGCAGTTGTAAAATGCCGTAACAAAGCTTTCGTCAACTTGAGAAGAGGAAGAGACAATCGCGAAACAGGCAGTGCATTTTAAGTAGCTGCTATGCTCTTTTGTTGCTCTGCTTTCCACCTGTTTCGTAAATATCTTCGATGATTTTTGTGTGCGTTCCTTCTAAAATGCTGGAATTTAAAAAAGTTGCAGGACAAAAACCATATTGATCCAGTTTAGGCTACTAGACTATTATATTCAAGATTTAACAGAGCAGCTAAACATTCATTTGTACAATTCTAGTTGAACCAAGAAACTTTACAACATAAAGCACACATGCATTACATAAATACACAACATAACATAAAGATAACAGTCGAAATATGTTAATTAACAGGAGTTAACGTTTTTTTATCCACAGAGCAAAAGTCTTCATTGCCCACCATACCCACCATTTCCTACACTGTGGGAAATCGCGACACACTGACCTCAGTGGCGGCCCGTTTCGATACGACACCATCGGAGCTAACGCATTTGAATCGCTTGAATAGCTCGTTCATATATCCGGGTCAGCAATTGCTGGTGCCCGATAAGAGTGCCAAAGATGATGCGTCAACCAGTTCGTCTGGGACGATTGAAGGGATCGGCGGCAGTATTTCCGGCAAGTCCAGTCCCATTGAGCGCAAGTTATCTAGCGATGAGAGCAAGCAGGAGAAAGGTAAGCGACGAACGGCTGGAAATGGTGCAATTGGTGCGATGATATTGAAGCTAACTACTTTGCAGTCTTATTTTAAGCTTTTTTTACGCAAAACAAACTAACATTATAACACACCAACACCATTTAAGTTGCGCGCTCACAGTGGTTTTTAGCGACGCTGTGCAAAGCGGCGCTAGCCAACACTTGTAATGTACACAACAGCCCTGTTCTAGAAAACATCTGATGACGTTGTGCAGCCCTCGCTTTGCACGAACGAGAATTCGTGACTGTTGTGCTGGTTGTGTTTGTTTTTTTATTTTGTGTGTGAAAACAAAGTAGTTTTTTAGTCATTTTTTTTCTTTGCTACCGTTGGGCCACGCAAGCCGCAAAATTGCAAACGCAAGTGTTGTAAAGTGCACGGACACGCGTCAGCCCCAGTTTCAGCATGCACACGGCTGTCTTTTGGCGTAACGGAGGTTAATTTTTGACACATTCTGCATTTGTTTTCAATTTATTATTGTTTTTGTTTTTTATTATTTTTTTTTTATTTGGATAAATTAAAAGTGCGAAATGACCTTGCGAAATTCGCAGCGCATTTAGCCCAAGTTGTCAGTCACATGGCGCGCATTTATATTGACAGAGATTTACATTTTAAATTAAATATCACATAAATCAATTCTGGTGGCTCAAAACACACACAAAGCACTCTATCTTATCAGATAGATAAAAATCACTGCGCGTGCTTTTTGCAAGTGGCCTACAAAAAAGGGAGATATATTTTTTGGTATATATAGTATTCACTAACGTGTCAAATCCCTTGCCTTGCAGATATTTTGGAGGGTCTGCGTCCAGGCTCACCCAAGCCGGGCCACATTGAACGCGTTGTGGGCAACAGCGGGTTGAGCAGCAACCGGCAGGCCGAGGAGCAGGCGGATAAGAGCGATGATCCGGTGATAACACAACGTTTTCTCAAGATCAATGTACGGCATATTACCGATGGCCAAGGCGTCGTTGGTGGCGTCCTTTTGGTCACACGCAATGCGGTCATGTTCGATCCGAACGTGAGCGATCCGCTGGTCATTGAGCATGGTCCCGAAAGCTATGGCGTCATTGCGCCCATGGATCTGGTTGTCAATGCCGCAATATTTCATGACATTGCGCATATGCGTGTCGCCGGAGGTGCTGGACCAAGTGTGGCTGCCGCCTCCGCATCGGCCTCGAGCGCCGGCAGCGATGCCGAGAAGCCAGAAATATACTATCCGAAGCCAGTATTAGTTGAGGAGGACTCCAAGGAGCTGTCCGAGCAGCAGGTCGATCTGGAGGTCAACAAGCAACGCTTGGATGGTAAGCTTTTAATCAGCTAAATGTTTTTTATTTATTTATAATATATGTTTTCCATTGAGAAAACAAAAATGAAATGAAACCAAACTCACTCTAGAATATGAGAATGTGCCTAATCATTTTGTATAATTGCAGTCGAAGTTGGTTCATTGGAGATCACCGATGATCAGGAATCGCTGTGTTCCAGCACTGGTCGTGAGGGCGATGCCTTCCCCAAGGCCTTTGAGCGTGAACGTGTCGAGGTGAGTTGCAAAAATCGAAATATTTCCATTAACACAGTTGCATTCATTGTGTGTGTTTTGTTCTTTTTTAAGGATACATCAACGGATGCCAAAGATAGCGCTAAGACTGACGCTCACGATGAGGACGAGGATAAGAAAATGTTGGGCCTGACAAATACACGCAGCACGCTGGAGGAGCGACGCAAGAGTCTACTGGATCATCACTGGGCCATTCCGAGCAAAGATCGGTTAGTGTTTAAGCAGCTGTGTTTGCCGGGCGAAACGTATTCGAATTATGTCATCAGATCTGTTTTGAATACATCTGCCCATATTTGTACATGTGTAATTATAGCCATAATTTTTGTCTGTCTTTCTGTCGCGAGAGCTGTCAGCCAGATCGGATCTTTACATAATATGTATATATGTATATCTGATATGTGTTCCATCTATATGCTATATGCATATCAAATATCTCCCATTTGAACAAACACGTCTATGGAAAAGTTTTTAGTTTTCAATTTCAGTCAGCCATCAAAGAAATATGTTTTTAAATCATTCTTCTGTTTGACAGCTGCGCAATATGATTATTGTTTGTAACCTAAAAAAGTATTTCATCGTCTTCGGTTTACCGAAGAGAGGAGCGGTGTTCTGATTTTTAATTCGATTGTTTTCTGTTTTAACAAAAATCTTGTGATTATTTATTGTTATTAATTTTTGTGTTCAACCATTTTCTTTGTGTTTTTACTTTCATATCTCAAACTGCAACGTCAAAACATATGCAATATATGTTATTTCACGCTTTACACACACACACACAAACACACGCACACACACTTGTAATTTGTAACTGTAAATACGCACAAACTGTACACACTCTGCACCCCTCCCCAACCAACCAAAATACTCAGCTATTGTTTGTCTAATTCCCGAAGATCATCGGAAGACGAGGCCGACAACGAGTCCAACTTGACGATCGATAGCGGCGCACGCGTCCAGGAAACACAATCGGCAGCCAGTTCGATTAGCGGCCAAACAGTCACCGCTGCTGGTGCTGCACCAACTGCAGCTGCAGCTGCAGCTTCTGTTGCAGGTGCAGGTGCAGCTGCTGGTGCTGCTGTTCCTCCAGTTGCTGGTATGCTGCCACCGTCTGGCATCGATTTGGAGCATCTGGAGCAGCTGTCGAAACAGTCGTGCTACGATTCGGGCATCGATATACGTGAACCAGTGCCGGCCATACAACCAATACCAAAGAAAACCGTTTACAGTGACGCCGACATCGTTCTCAGCTCCGACTGGGTGCCACCAAAGAACATTGTGCCCACACACTTTGGTGAATCGCCGCCGCGTGGCACCATTCTCGGCCAGAGCCTCGACACTGGCGGCGCACGCAAGAAGACCTCCAGTGTCAGCTTCAGTGTCGACGACGAGGCTGCTCAGCAGGCACAGGCCCAAGCAGCGGCAGCTGCGTCCAGCGTCGACAAGCAAGCGGACAAAAAGAATAAGGTTAGTGTAAAAGTGCCAATCATTAATAGCTTAGAAGATTTATACTTATAGGGATCTATTCGAAAAAGGCTCGACTTGCAAATATCCTGAATAAATATTCAGTCTGCTTATATTAGTTTCTTAAATATGAAATTTCTTATTCGATATTGATGGAATTTTGACAGTTTAACTATAATTAATTTGTACTATCGACAATCGATTTGTATCGATATTCGCGAAAGGGATGCAGTTATCGATAAACTGAAATAAACCTAATCTTAAATAATGCATGGCAAATGAGAACTCATTCGACATTTGAAGTCTCTAACTCGTTTAGTCTCTGAGATCAGCTTCAGTTTTCAGGATATGTTCTTAATTGTTAGACTTTATTGGATATTTAATAGATAACTTAAGATTGGAGGCAGACTATAATAGCTAAAAGTTCTGGACAATTTTACACTATGAAAGATAATATTTTTAAGTGACAACTGTTTATACTTATTACTATGGAATTTTAATTTATTCTCGCTTTTGCAGATGTTGAAGCGTCTGTCGTATCCATTGACCTGGGTGGAGGGCCTCACCGGCGAGGGCGGAGCACCGCCGGCACCTGGCGGCAGCCTGAACAAGTCATCGGACACGGATTCAGCGCCCAATACGGGTGACTCCAATCAGAGTGTATTTTCGAAAGTATTCTCAAGGTGCGCTAAACACAAATCAGCTCTATTAACTGCTTTCTATATATATATAAATATATTTATATATATATCAATATAATTGGTGACACAAATTTGTTTATTTCGTTGACAAAAAAAAAAAAATAATAATGAAAAATGCTTACCTTCGGTTAATGCGGATCGGCTGCTTTTGCAAAACACACACATTTGTTTAACTTATGCTTTTCACACTCATACACACAATAACACTGAAACTCCAACACACACACACACACGCACACACAACAAATGTACACACTCGATATACGACATGTGAAAATGGTACCCCAAAAAAAAAAAAAAAAATGTTTATATGCAATTACTTAGCTCACCCATCACTCTGGTCTCAGAGCTGGGCGGCAATCTATTTTCGAAAACACCGTCCGAAGAATCTGGTGGGTCGCCAGTGCCGCCATTAACTCCACATTCGACACATTCCGAGGGTCACATGACCTATGGGTAAGGACGGATTTGGATGATGTGTTGTGTGCTGTGATCAAGTTGTTCCAGCTGATGTTGTTGTTGTTGTTGTTGTTGTAGTAGTGTTATCATTGTTGTTGTTGTTCCTGTTGCTCATGGTCAACTTTCAGTTTACACACTTTTCTTTCATAAGCAAAATTTTTGTTAATAAATTCGCAAAAACTCTCATCAGAGTCGAAAGTTTAGTTTCAGTCGGCGTTTTGTGAATTATTCATCAGCTTTGAATTGAGCTTAATTCGGTGTTAAACTAATAATAATTTGATGCGTTTGCTACACACAGGCGCTCCTCGATTGGCACCTTTATACGGCCGCACTCCTCGGAGGGCACCTCGTCGAGCACAAAGCTGAAGGAGGCCAAACAGCAGGCGCCCAAACTGGACTATCGCTCCATGGTCTCCATGGATGACAAGCCGGAATTGTTTATCAGCGTGGACAGTGAGTGATTTACACTTCATATATATACATACTAGATATTTATGTATTCAAATTTTACTTGCAGAGCTTATACCGCGTCCCGCACGCGCCTGCTCTGATCCACCTTTGTATTTCCGCCTGCGCATGGGCAAGCCCATTGGCAAGGCAATACCGCAGGGCACCACAGTCATGTCCTATGGCAAGAACAAGCTGCGCGCCGAATATTGGTTCAGTGTGCCCAAAAATCGGTGAGTAACAAATGCCAGTCCATTCAGCGACAAAACAGTGAAAAGCTAATTCATTTATTTGTCATATCTGCGCAGCGTTGATGAGCTCTATCGTTTCATAAACACCTGGGTGAAACACCTGTACGGTGAGCTGGACGAAGAGCAAATAAAGGCGCGCGGCTTTGAGCTAATCCAAGAGGATACCGAATGGACAAAGAGTGGCACCACCAAATCCGGCGGTAGTCAGGATGGCGAGGACATTAGCGATCTCACCCGCGAGTCTTGGGAGGTGAGTTCAATTTGTAGACCTCTCTATATAATCTCTATCAGCATTTCTGTTGATGCCCTGTGCGACTTTTCATATATATACTTCCATATATATATATATATAAATATAATTTTTAATCTATTGCTCTTTTATATGCGCTGAGTTTTTCTCTCGAATTTTTTCCACTAAACCAAATATAAAATAAATAAAAAAAAAACGTTGCTCTCTCAAAATTTTGAATCCCCAAAAAAATACAAAATAAATATATATAATTTTAGGTTATGCCTCGAAATTGTTGCGCAATACGAAATTTTTAATATATATTAATATTCTCTTGTTTACTTTTTCATACTTGTGTTACCTTTACGTCTCTCTTTTTTACGTTTCAATAATTGCATTTGTTTATCGTTACAAAAAAAAAAAAAAAAACTATAAACTAAATACACAAAACTCTGCCAATCCATAAAAAAAAAAAACAATTGAAAACCAAACCGACAACTGAAAACTGAAAAATCTCTATACGACAGCTTCTAAAGGCGCCGTTCGCCAAGACCTACAAGATCATAAAAACGGCTTCGCATGCCGCATCGCATGATTTGGAAATGTTGGGCGGCGAGGTTAGGATTTAAAACCTTTTAATACGAATTCAATATTCTTCCACCTAAAACTAAACTGTGTTGTTGTTCAAAAGCACACAAAAAAAAAAAAACAGATTAAAAACACCCCACCTTTGAAATTTGTGTGAAAAAATTATGTGCATTTATTTTATGTACTTATCTTATTTTCTTTAAGCACAATCGATTTTTGATTGTTGTTCATTTTGTGTTTTTGGCTCGCTCGTTCTTTGTTTTCGTAGTTTATCCCAGTTACACTTAATGCATAATGCATAATGCATAATGTTTTAATGTTTTTTTTTTTTCTTTCTTTTTTGTAACTATTTCTTGGCACATTTTCAAGCACTTATCTCTCTGTGTGTGTGTGTGTGTGTGTGTGCGTGTTTCTGTGGCACACAAATATTTATAAACAATTTGAAAATACCACAAAATTATTTTTAATTTATAATTTTCTTGCATTTCTTTTTGACACTGTTTGTGTTCATTTTAGTTTTCAGTTTTGCATTCAGCATTGGCTCATCCCACAGCGAGCATTGAAAATTCATTGTTTTCATTTCTCGTATATGCAACATACTTTTCACATTTCATATTGGCAACATTTGTAGTTTCATCATTCGACAATTATTGCAGTGCAAAACATTATCATTGAATTCATATGAAGGTTGCAAGTTGACAGTAGAAATGCGACTAAAATAAGTTTAGTTTGGTTTGCTCATCGAATGTATATCAAAATAAAAATGAAGAACATCTTAATGAAATATGCTCAAGGCACTTAAGATCAATTACAATTACTTGTTAAGTATTTATTATTTTTTTCTGTGTACTTGCATTTATTGAATTTTCAACACCAGTCTTTTTTTTTTTTGGTCTGCACTTTATGTGCTTCTGCAACATCAAATTGTTGCAATCATTAAATTGAGGTTTCTCACAAGCTCCTCTCTCATTACACGACCAACAACCACATGTGTTGCTCAACCTACAAGACATAATTATATATAGATATATATATATATGCGTATCACTTGCATATCTTTAAGGTTATTAAGCTATAACTAATACAAATTTATTGTGCCAATTATCACTTGCATAATTAATTTTGAACGTTAGGATTGACTTTGAATTAATTATGCATGGTCCACAAAATAATTAAAACTAGCATTCAAAATTTAATTCATTCGACAATTAGCGCTTTTCTTTTTGTTTTCATAACAATTTCGCAACTATTTTGTGGAACACGTTTTTCTTAGCCAAAAACCGTGCCCCCAAATATAAATATATATGGATTGGTGTATCTATTTATATAAATATATGGATCAACACGATTCACACGTCGTATGAGTAATATGTGTTTTGTCTGGCAAGCAGCTAAAATATTGACTCTGAGTATTCACTTCATTTCACCAAAAGTCTCAATACACTGTTAATTAATGGGTGTTTCCCTGAAACCTAACCTTTATTATTATCTCTGTTATCTGTACCGACCACCATTTCCCACAATTGCAAACAAATTGTTTCCTCATCATCGAAATAATCACAACATGAATTTTTTGAGAGATAACCTATAAAATGCAAGAGGTTATCAAGCAAATAACTAATCTTAAGTCGTAGTAGTAGATTAGAATCGATTTCTAATTATTTCACCTTTATGTGATTAATTCAAATTTCATAATTCGTCTTAATACTTTTGTCCTCTTTGAGTTTACCAAGACTAAACAATATATTTTAATATTTTTATCAATTTATATTTATCATATAACTGTTAATTGGATTCAGTTACGTGAATTAATTAACCAGAGAAGTTTCGTATTGGAAAAAATTGTTGTTGTTTTTAAAAATGAAATATTCAACTGATAAGAGGCTATCAGGAGGGGAAAGGCCTAAAGAGCGTTTCCACATTTGCTGTACTACTACAGTAGTCGCCCGTCAATTGATACGCTTGGGTTTTCGAGTTAATTCCGTTTTTTGTAATGTTTAACAACAGAAATTGTCAATTCTAAATTGATTAATGGTATATTCTATTAAAAAATGTCAAAGACCAACAAAAAGTTGATTCTCAAATTGATTCCTGTAACAATTTGAATATTCAAATGACCACTGTACTATATAAAAAGAATTCGTAAACGAGTTGCTTATTATAAAACTACAGTGAAACCCGTTTAAAAAAAGGCACACGTCAAAATCTGAATTATAATGCTACAACAGGTTATCGGGTCACTTTTAAGCGGCAATCAAAAATAAAATCTTACAAATGATCGTATAATATTAAAATAAATATGTATGCTCCAAAAATAATATATGTGGCTGTATCTGCATCAAGTGTTGAGTGCATGTAAAAAACAAAGCAGACAAGTTGCTTGTGTTTTTGTTGCTCCCATCGAGAACCGGTTACGCGGTTTGGTTTTGTTGTTGTTTTTGTTATTGCTGTGCTTCTATTTCTGACAGAAGTGAGCGTGTGCCTAAACATAACTAACTAAATGCCTTCATTCATTGAACAAAAGCAAATTTGCATATAAAGAACGGCCAAAAGATGAGCCACACGAACAAAGCCAGCGATGTACATTAAAAGCCGCGCTGGGAATGTGCACACAACAGTGCCGTCCAAAACAAATGGCACCGTTATTCATTCAAATTACTGCTATCTTAGTTGTCTGGGCTTTGCTCTGTTTTATATCAACATTGAAATATCAGGAAATATTTGGACAAATATTGTCTGAAGCCAAATCTGTGGCAAACAAATTTGGAGCTGTTTTTAAAAATATTAATAATAAAAGTACAAACAAAGAACTAAAGTTGAATATAAAGCTTTGTTCAGTTTTCAATCATGGAAAGAGCTGGTGTCCTGCTCCGATTGCGATCGCTCGGGCCATCCATCGTGTCGCTTGTACGGAATGTAAATGTATTTTATTTTTAATTGTGTGTTCTCCACGTGCAGCTTTTAAAATTAAACATGTCTTAATTTTAAATGACCTTTTTAAGTATTCCTTTGTACGTTCTTAATCTTATGCGTGTATGTAATTAATTTAATTTTTGTGTTCATGATTACGCTTATTTGTGGATCGCCGCAAGTATTCTAAGTATTCCGCAATGTGTAGTTAGACACAATGGTGTAAACCCGGATAGTTCATAAATTATTCAAATAGGTTTTTGTTACCACCTTAATTACGTTTCGATACGTGATGGGATTGTATTTGTTTAGTGTTTTTAACAAATGGGAATATTCGAAATAAGAAGACGACATTCAGCTAACCCTTCCAGAAGAAACTTTCAGCAGACACATCTTTCGTATGAAAATTAAGCCATGGGTGTTATTTATGTCGGTGTGTATTATATAAAGTAAACAATTAATTATGGTCTTGAATTAATTACGTTTTATTAAAATATACTGCGCTTGTCATTTAGCCGGTTATTGTTGTTATTGTTTTGTGTTATTGTTTTTTGTTTTTGTTTGGTTTTTGTTGATAATTTCGTCATCGTCGGGGTCTATTTAATTCCTTTTGTTGTATGCTCCATCCGGTTTTTCAGTTTCAGTAGCTTTAGTTTGCAGCTAGATTCTATTGCCTCTTTTGCCCAATTAACCAATTAGGCAACAGGCCACGCCCACACGTTCAGCAAAGTGCAACCAGTTTGTTGTTTTTATTTGTTTGCCATTAATTGCCAAGTGTTTTACATATATGTCGATATATTTGTCTATATTTATACATTTGCTGATATAACATAACGCGTACTTGTTGTACGATCAATTAGTTTCAATGAATATTTGACGACGAGCGCCATCGTCTTTTGAGCAATTGAGAAAAGTGCGATTCCCAGTTGAGAATTGAGCTCCTCTTTTAAGTACCAATATATTTGCATACACAACACATTCTGCAGTCCAATCCACAAATTATTTTTTATTTTCGGTTGATGATGAGGACAATCAACAAAATGTTTTTTAATTTCGCACAGCGTTTGCCATTCTAAAACAAATTTTGTATGGCAGTGCACTATAAAATTTAAACTGTATAAATTAAAAAGAACACATGCCTCGATATAGTATACATATATATATATGGTTTTCCAGATCCAGTTTGTTCAGAAAGTCGATTATCGTCCTCAACAGGATGGATAAATAAGATCAGCTGTTCTTCTTATCAGCAAGAAAGCAAAATTATGCTTGAAGCTCAATCTAAAATCTATATTCAAATGATTTTTCGCACAGTCTCACAGCAGAAATCCATCTGCAATCGCTTAACTAAAATATGAGTCACAAATCATTTTATGCTTTGCAATTGAATTAAACTTGAACGCTATGCAAACTAAGAATTTCTGCATGCACACAATACTTGAGTGTTTGTGTAAATGTTGATAAGAAACAAAACAAGCCCACATTTGTTTATAGCCACCATAGAATAGAAATTCCATAAAATGCTATTTATATTTATGTGAAGCATTTCATTAGTCTGACTTAAGATATAAATGCTAAAATCTGAAGTTGATTTTCGGCAACTCGTTATAATATTATTCTTAGCCTGTTCTACCGATGTTATAGCAATCTTTCTTTAATTAACTTCAATCAGTTAACGTTTGCTGCAAGTAATTTATAAGGCCTAAAATAAATAAAGGCAGACTGATTCATATTTACTGATTTATATTATAAATATATAAGAATAGAAAACATGTGTTTTTATTTGAATCGATAGCAGTTGATAATGTTTTGATTTTGATCATGCTAATGTAAGACATGCAACTATTTGTCTTCTGTATGCAAATAGGCAAGAATCGTTGCACCTTGCCAGAGGCTAATTCACTTAACTCACATATATGCATATATATATATATATATGCCTGGTTCTTTGGCAGCTGACTTCTGCATTACATATTCTGACCACTCTCTTAGCGCTGCAATATTAATTGAAATGCAGAGCAACGCTTAAGCTAGGCAAGTTACACTGGCGTCCAAAATATGTTGCCACATTGCATGTGTGACCTGCTGTTGATGCTCTAATGCTGATGCTGATGTTGCT